TGTAATGGCGTTACTACCTTTCTAGCTTCCCCCTTGCTCCCTCCCTGCTTAGTTCCCCTGCCAGCAGCTCCCCACCTTGTCCTCCAACACACAAAGCTGCTTCTCCATCTCAGCCTCAGTCACATAAATTGCTCTGAAAGGCAGAATCCCCAGGCTCTCACGAAGCTCCTGCTGAAATTAATGAGACTTGGCACCAGACCATCTTATAGAGAATTATTTGCAAGAGCAACACCTTACTTACTATTGGAGACAACACAAAAATCACTTCTCCACTGACAGTTTTCATCCTCAGCTTTAACTTCTACCCAAGTCAGGAATAATTTTTGCTTTATATCTGACTTGACAGTTACTAATACTACTGTGAGAACACACCACCTGACTTTATATGATTTAGGAAGAGGAGAGAGAGCAAAGATAATAGTTTCATTATAAGTTTTAAGTCTCTGTAAATCTCTCTACATTGAACCATTCCTGATCTCCCAAGAGGGACTTTCCAAACACTGAAGCCATGCCTATTTGGCAAGAACTACAGACAGGGATTTCTTTTTTAGTCTCCTTCGTCTCTACAGAGGGCAAAAATCTTGGACAGAAAACTTTGGCCCAGAAGCCTTTTTCTTTACTTGCAGCAGTTAGAGGCACAGTGATGGTTTTAATAGAGTTCTGTAATGACTCTATTGCTACTTTTTATGACTATTTCTTGGAGCAATAAAGTGGCAGAGGCAATGATATTGAATGACTAACTTTTCTACAGTGAAGAAGAGAGCATAATTAGTCCATGAAGTCATTTTCATTCAAAGAGCAAATGCATTTCTAACTCCCTCAAAACACAGTAAAAATTCTTTTTCACCTGTGTGCTCCCCTAGCCAACATCAGAAGGTGAACTTATGTTGCTCAGGTACTTAAGGAATAACTTGAAATGTCCCCTTGACTTCTCTTTTGTGATATTCCTGCAACTGTTCCTCAAAGGGCCTGGGACAGAGCCTAGCAGTGCACCCTGGACCACCCCAGGATCTCATGATCCCCAGGGAACCACAGCATTAATGGGCAGCTCCACAGCCCTGCTTCTCCCACCTGGGCAAGTACAAGGCAGCTCCCTCCTGAACCACATCCAGAGGATAAAACAGGTCCCAGGTGGGATAAATTGCCCCCCCCCTCTTCACTGGCTTGGAAAGGGTTAAGGCTCCTGACATAGGTGCTTTGATTTGATGACAAAAGCAGGAGAGGATGTTCTGCTCATGCAGTAGTTTTTCTAATGACATGGACTTTGCAACATAAAGGGAACACTTTTTCACCATGACTCTTCATAAAGATGCAGTATGAAACTGAGAGACCCTCACAAGGCCTGCAGGGTAAAACTCAAGTTCCACTGAAGGAAACTGATAGTTTTTACCAAAGATTACAATGACACTGGAATTTCTCCTACTTGTGCCCAGACAGCTAGGTTTATTAGCATGAGATCCCCCTACCTATTAAATAGAATATTTATTAACTTTACTTTTAGTGTATCTAAAATCACTATCTAAACCAATCACAGCTGAATTTGATGATTCTCATTAACTAAAACCAAATGAGTTTCCCTTACAGTTGACCTCTTGCTGCAGCTGTAGCTGTGACGTGGTTCTGTGTTATGCTGTTCTCTAGTAAGGCATGTCAAAAACACAAACCAAAGGAGAAAATTATTTCATTTCCAAAATAAATAAATGCCTTTGATCAGTTCTAATACATGAAAGGCAGGTATTAAAAGTTAAGGGACACGTGGGAAATTGGTTCCTCACAAAGCTTCAATTAGCTTTCAAATTATCTCTCACACAGTGTGTACAAATACTCCTAACCAAACTTCACTGAAAAATGGATTCTCAATACGTTTATTTACCTAATAGTTAACACAAGGATAACAACACACATGCAAATGTAAAATAAAAACATATGTGGGGATCTTTTGCCCCAAATAAGAATTTGAAACAGATGTGCTCTTTTAACTGTATTTCTTCACCCAATGCTTTTCTCTTCACTGTTTGTATCTTTAATGTATTTTTTTTTCAAAGGTACATAATAATTTATTCCCCCTTTTATCTGACAAGCATGGTTTTCAAATAACATATTCTATCTTTATTTCTTGCTGGCATAACTCATCCATATCAATTGGTGTTTTGCACAAAGGGAGCTGACTGCAGTTCAACTGTAAGCTGGGATACTATTTTCATTAGAACTGCATTTAAAAATCAACATAACAATGTTGTAGGATGAAAACATTATGATATTCAACATTGTTTCTGCAAGTTTTTTATTCTTAAATCTTCCATTAAACTCATGTTTTTATTGGACACTTCCATTCCACTTCTCTCCGCCTGTTTTCAATAGCAGTGTGTAATGTTTAAAGGGATAAATTAGCTGCAGCAGCTTTTCAGTCCCAGAACCAGAAAATATTGGAAAATATATCTGATGTCTCTTTTTCTCCTCAAAACTTTAATTGTAACTTTTGCAGAAAAGCATTAAAAATTTAGTAAAGCAAAATTCCCTGGAGCAGGGAAACACAAGTCAGCTCTCTACCCAGTGGACCAAATCTGAATGAGCTCTGCAGGACTCAGATTTCAGGCTATGCTCACCTACACTGAAAGGTAGGAAATGCTGCTAAATTTCTGCTGGACCTAAATGGCAGGGTATGGGTAGCCAGGAAATGCAGGGACTGTGTTTGCAGGAGGTCCAGGGCTGGTCTCCACAAAGTCCTGCTTATTCCAGCATCACTGTTGAGCACCTCAAAACTGAAGCTTATTGGTAGAGCACCACAACTGAACCAGTAATTAAAATTTTGTGTTAATTTGCAATAAATCAATACAACCAAAATTCCCCATGTCGAGGTGGTTTACCCATGAAAAACTCATTAACAAAATCTTTATCTGTCCTTTCCCAGTGTTTTCATTCAGTCCTTCCAGTGTGCTTGTTACATGACAGGACTATCAACTGCATGGCTGCTGGCATCTTTCACCACTGGACCCTGCCACATCCACCATGAGTCATCTAACCATGAGTGAAGGGAAAGTGTCTTCATGTTCATGTGACACAGGGCTTCTTTTGTTTTCCTATCTTTTTTACCATCCTTACTTAAAATTTTCCAGATATCAGAATTGGGAGTTGAGTTCTTAGTATTCAACAGTACTGGTAGCTTCAAAAGATGATATCCAAAAGCATTTTAAAATATAGTATCAAAGAAGACATCACCTTGGTAACAGCTGAGCACAGCAGACATTTTCAGCACCCAGAAAATGTCAATGCTTCATATAATACAGACTTTATAAGCTAAAATATTTTTTTAAATAATTCAATTCAGATTTCTCAAAAAAGTGATAATTTCATCAAATAAGGTAAGATTCTTCAAGACAGTTGTCAAAAGACATATTTCTGGCCCGAATGCTCAAACCTCTGGCTTTTTCAGGTATCTGATTCAAAATGTGTGGCTATAAATACTTGTTATATCTTTTTAATGGAAAAGAATTAAAATATAAATGAAACAGGGTACTTTTTCTCCTTTTCATTACTGTGAAAAATGTTAGAATGTGGTGCTGTATTTTTTTGACCAAGCAAACACATTCTGCTTGGTGCAGACACCTGACAAAATTTAAAGCTACCATTTAAAATCTGGCAAAGCCAAAGTGACTAAAAAGGGGTTTTATTTAACAGTGTCTTATAAAAATAGTTTTATGGAAGGGGAGAGAAGACACAGGCAAATTCAGTAACTGGGGAACTTACAAGGACCATGATTACCAAAGAGTAAATTAGGATATTTTGGGAACTTTGGCACACTTGCTCCCAAAATGCAGTTACACAACAATCAGACAGAAAGGGAAAAAAGTATTACCATCCTGCAGACCTGGCACATCTTACTGAAAGCTCACAAGAGAAAACCAAGCTGCAATAGCCCTACAGCAATCAAGAAAACCTACAAAGACTGAGACAGGGAGATGGCACTATAAAAATCATAATCAGACTCAGGAACCAGACTGAGTGAATTATATGTTGGCCTTTGAGAAGTAAATGAAAACAATCAGCAGAAAAATCCAAGCAGCATTTGGACATTGACCATTGGAAATTAAGAGCAGCGTCAATACTCCGAGTTTTCCTTTTTGTTTTAAAAGTGAACTCAAGAAAAGCTAGTAAAACTTAGCAATTGTTAACATGCCACCATAACTACAGCATAATAATGTCCCATAAACTTTAAGAATTTCAAATTCATTGCTACAGAGCAACTTACACATTCATTTTTGCAACAAACCCATTTTCACACTCAAAGACACCAGAAAAGCAGATTAAAGTTTATTTTTCTTTTGATAAAGAAGTTAAGCAGATTTTGGCAGCTTGCCATCAATTTGACCCGATCTCCCAACTTCCCCCCTGCCCAAATACTATAAATTATTCTTACAATGGTTGAGGGGGGAAAAAACCTGAAAAACTTCAAACATTCAAGTCCTTTGGCTGAACCTCCCAGGGGCATATCCCACGGTGACAATCGTTGACAGTGCCAAGTGGCTCCTACAATCTACCAGCAGGAACCTGGACTGGTGAGTTTTGTTTACCAGGATGTTCTGTTGTGTCTGTAGAAGTCAGACTGTTCTGTTCCCCCCTATCTTGTAATAGTTCTGCCCCGGTTCTTCCTTCCCTCCTTTATGCTGCCAGTTATCCCAACTCCTCCCCAGTTGCCTTGGAGAATAATGTACCCTTTCTCAAATCCCTCCCCAGCGCTGTTGTGTCTGTCACTTGGAGTACCCACCCTTCTCTCTGGAACTCTCTAGAAACTTCTAACTAGAGCATCGAGTGATTGGCTCAGGGACCGGATCTCCACCCTCAAGTTGTCCCCATTGGTGTTCTCCCTAAGTCAATCATTTGTATCCCACTCCCCTCTGAAACCCTATTCGTCCAAGGACTGACTCCTCCCTTGTTTCCCTCCTTATAAGCTGTTGTAACTTGCTGGACTTTCTCTTTGGCTGTCGGTTTCCCGTGGGTCTCAATAAGCTTGCATTTACTACAGCTGGGGAGCGCTCTCTTATTTCTGCTGACTGTAGCCATAAGCCCAGCCACGTCCTACCACAAGGTAAAGCTGCTGTCATAGCACAGAGCATTTGCCTTAGGTGCTGTCCCGAGCCACAGAGATTGGGATAGCACCCCCTGGACTGCTAGCAGTGCTGGAACGCTAGCTGGGACGTCCGAGAAGGACCAGCCAGGGCGTCTGAGAAGGACCATTTTTCTCCAGCTGCGCTGCTTCACCAGGGAAAAAGGGTGGCGTTTGTGTTTGGGGGCCTGTGGCCCGGCGTGGCCGGCTGGCTGCTGAAATTCTGCATTGCGCAGAATGCCTCCCAGACCCAAGCTGGCACCAGTGCCAACTCAGGCTGGTTTGGCAGTGCCAAGTGGCTCCTACAATCTGCTATCAGGAACCTGGGATGGTGAGTTCTGTTTTCCAGAAAAAGGGGCCAGCATTTGTGTTCAGGGGCTGTGGCCTAGAGTGGCCAGCACACTCCTGAAATTCTGCATTGCGCAGAATGCCTCCCAGACCCAAGCTGGCACCAGCGCAAACTCAGGCTGCTTTCACAGTGCCAAGTGGCTCCTACAATCTGCCTTGTTGATGCAACTGGGGAATGAGTTCATGAGAAAAAAACAGTAAATGTGGCATCTGAGGGTGAGTATAGCTGTGATTTCCTAAGCATTTATATCCCACTGGGAAACTTTCAGACAAAAAAAACCCTAAAAAGCTTGCTATTGCCAAAGGGTCAAATACTGTATTTAAAAGGGGTTTCCTCCAGGTTCCTAAAGGCAGCTGATCAAAGCCTGGCATTGTGCAGAGAGCACAATGCACTTCACTTGTGCCCAAAGGCAGTTGCTCCCCTGTGGCAGCAGCGTGGCTGAGTGCTGGCTGGTGCTTCCTGCTCCTCTTCCCTGAACAAGCAGCTCTTAGCTGTTCTCTGGCCAGGATGCTTTTAGGGAAGCTTAGTGTTAAGAGTGGGATTGCATTACAGCTATGTGGAATGAAGTGCCAAGGTGTTTTTGAGTGCTTGTAATGCTAAGTTGTAAATTAATTTGTAGCAGGAACCAAAGGTAGAAGTTCTGACCCATCAGTCCAAAGGTTGGGACTCCTGTTGACATCCTCTACCAAGCTCTGACATTGCATGCAAATATCTTGCTTGGAGCAAGAGGGGCTGTGCTCTGATGGCAGCTTTTGGCCGGGATCTGAAACCCAAATTTTCGTAGATTTGAAGCAGCCACAGCTCCTGCTAGGATCAACAGGAGATGCAGGTGCCAGTACTGTGAATAGCAAGACTTATACCAAGTTGGATACTCTTGGTTTCTACTTGCAGTTGAAAATGGTGCTTCTATTGTCTCTCAGTGTCTCTTGATGGTGTGGGGTGCTGTCAGGCTTGGCTGGCTGATATTTTCCAGCATTTTCAAGACCCCTCAGAAGTTTAAACAACTGTACGTTACTGTTGTTATTAACAATCATAAGGTATTTATTTTATTATGACTTGGGCAGTATTTCATTCAGAGAAGCTCAACTCATCTTTTAATATTTATGAGTTATGGTTTGGTTCCTTGCCAGTCAATTTCCCAAAACCTAGTTGCTCTCAATCTTACTTTGTTCAGTGAGACAGTCTGAGCTCTTCTGGCTCTGGAAGCAGTGGATGTAAACATGTGACATTTCATCTCACAAATGGCATCATTTTTACAGTGCTAGGGTCTGGTTCATCTCTGTTTTTCAGGTTATGCTGCCATAACCCCATTTATTTCAACACAGCTGATCTGCACTAATGCAGCTGAAAGTCAAAGAAGCTGGCCACAATGCCTGTAGGCCACTACAAATGATAAAAAGTAATACAGAAACGTGACTCAGCGTCTCAGATGGCAAAAACTCCTTTGCTGCATTAAAGTTACGTGACTGGGATACTGGAATCTGTCTTCATTTCTTGCATATTTTAATGTGTTTAAAATGATGATTAAAGGAGAGTTGGAGAGTAAGGTAGAAAATACAGAATGCTTGACTTATTAAGAGACAGAAGCGATTCATTAAAATGTGCTGTGTAGCCCCAAACCCATTTCTTACCCATTCTACAGAAGTACAAGCTGCAGTTTCTTTAAAATCCACTGCCAAGAGGACAAAATGTTGCTCTCTTTCACTTTTTACCACCCCCCCACACTTTCACTCTCTGATTAGTCCTGTTATTTCTTTATGAACAAACCTGACTACATATCCATCCTCAACACTTTTGGGCCTCATCGACCAAACAAATGCTGTTTAATTTCTTCTGATTTCTTTTCCTGGTGAACTTCTTTGTTGTCTGTATTGTTACAGACAGAATTCAATTCTAGCTTATTTCCTGGTTTCTTTTCATAATAGAATCAGGAAGATGAGTTATTACTTGTATCATTTCAGGCCCTAACAGCCCTTTCCTGGGCTCTTACTCAGTTGTTCCAGGAGCTGTATAAAACCAGAACAAAGGCAATGTGTGTGCTATTGCATGCTTTTAAACTGATTCTTATAGAAAGGCAAAATTTCTCCTTAACTATGAGACAAATTCGCTTTTACTCAACTCCATTAGCTGTATACCAGGATTGAAAAATCTGACCATTATCATTTAATCATAGATGCTCTTCATGCTGGCCTTGATAACTGCAGTGGGAAGGATGAGAGCTTGCCTGTTGCAAGAGGTTGTACTTCAGAGGATAACTCGATATCCAACTTTTCATGAAAAGGACACTTTTCATGTCTTAGTTATTTCCCTTGTAGCAAATCTGGGTTCATGAAAGCCTGATGTCCCACTTATGTAAGCTCATCATTCTCAGGAGACTGAAAGTCTGGGCATTGGGGTGTCACAAAAAGATTTTTGAATGGGCTTAAACAGGATCCAATTTAGTAAATACTATTTGTACTTTTGACACCTAGCTTTCTAAGGCATAATTACTTTTTGAACTACCCACTCTTGCTTGTGGGTAGAACTTCCCAGTTATTTGGAATCCTTTACTGCTAATAACATTTTCTGCCAATATATAAAAACAAATACTGGAAGACAGCAGAGCTCCTAGAGAGCCATCTTGCTTATATAGCTGCAGCTTCCCTGGGTATCTGCCACTGCCTCCAGGGAGCAGGATGCAATGAAACTGTAGACGCTCCTTTGAGGGGTTCTCACTGAGCTGTTGACAATTCTTCATGGGCTGTGGACAGTATACCACTATGCACTTGTGTCACACCACAGGGCCTCCCATTGATGCTTATCCTTCTCGTTTGGCCTCTGACCTCCACTGCTTGCCACTTAGGGAAGCAGCAGTTCAGAAAAGAAAGCAAAAGTCAGAGCAAAGTAGCTTTCATCTACCTTGGATAGCCTCGCTTGTATTTCTCGCTGTTTTTCAAATTGCCCAGAATTAATGCAGATCCTGTATTTTCCCCCCATTTTGAAATGAAGTCCATTTTTGAGTATAAATGAACAAAAAAGCATTGTTTCACTGCTACCCACATGTGTGAATTTTCACCCTGACTTAATTTTTTTTAATTTTTTTTTCATATCAGTGGTAATCCAGAACTAACCCCAGAGAGTTAAAAAATGTGCAAATGCAAATTCACAGGTTTAGTCTCTCTGCAGTGTCTGACTTCAGGTGTTAGTGATCTGTGCTTGGGTTTACTGAACTGAAGGCCAAATGTAATATAAAAATACAATTTAGACAATCCATGCAACAATGATTTTGAATGTGCTCTTCTCGTTCATCTGGGCAGCTAAAACATTCCCTTACAATTGGTCACTATATGAATGCCAGTATTTAAGTTTGGACTGGAAGTAATTATATTACTCTGCATCCTGACTGTAGAGCTACAGCCCCCCAGCTCTTCACTTGGGGATGCCAAATAATGACCTCAGTAGTCTCCAAGTCCATTAATAGAATTACAGGAGTGCTGAAAAGCCTGTCTTTATCTGGGGTTCTGTGGTGTTGAGGTGTTGTACAAAATCAGAATGAAGAACCACCTTTTATGATGTGTGGGTTGGAAAACAACCCACGAAGCCTCCTCCATTCCTCTGCTCAATCCCCAGTAGCTGCTTTCCCCCTCCCACTGATTCTGGAAGTGGTCATCAAATGAAAGGGTAGAGCTAGAGGGAGGGAAGAGGGTGATTTAATTAGAGATCTAAGGGGTCATTTTTTTCCCCAGCATGTAGTATTGTTGTAACTCAGCACTCATTGATGTGTGATGGTTACAGACAGCCAAGAAACTGGCCTACACACGCTCTCCTAGACTTACGATGGCAGACACAGGACCCTTTGATTTCAAGAATTAATAGTTTACCCTCTTTTTTTTACAGTCAAACTGATCTAGAGGAAAAATTCAATGAAAATAAAATTAGATGACACATACAGGAAGGATAGCCTGGAAAACAAAACAAATGTTAAAAATTGGCAATGGTCATTTACAAAAAGGACTAAGCTTTGTTGAAAATATATCCAAGAGATTCAGGAGCATAGATTTTATCAAAAGTCAGCAGGATTTAAATTCTAAGCCACATATAGCATTTGTAGTATTTTCTCTGGTATTTATGCTTCAGTTTAGCAAAGATAAAAATAATTTAAAATGTTTAGTTTTGAATTTTAAGATGCAGAACTTTAGGAAATGACTGATTTAACGATGCTTACTTACCAAATCTTCAGTTTTGATCAGAGGTTTCGCAGTTTTAGCTGGGGGTCTTCAGCTGTTACTTGCAAAACTATGCTTTCATTCCTTCAAGAAAATAAGTTTCTGACCCTTAATAGGCTGAAAGAGCTCATGTTTAGAAACTATCTTGTAAATGAGAGTGGAGTGATTAATCAATGATTAATGGAAAATTGACAGTTATATGAATATATTTTAATGCTTGCTTTTGGCAGGAGCAATACATTAAGTGAGAGTGAAACCCAAAGTTTCTCAGTGATGATTAAGCATCGAGACACTAGTGGTGAAAGGAAGCTACTGGATATCCTAATGATTTAAGTCACTGCTGTAATCGAGTTACCTTCTTTTGCTGCTTCATTTCATGAGGCTAGGAACAGTGGAGCGCAGCTGAACATTTTAATCCTTTTCCCTGCCCCACAATGAATTAAGAAGATGGTCCCTGCTTAAAATAGATAGACAATTATCAGACCACTAAGGCAGCCAGTTGTAGCTTCATTCACACTGGTTCTCCCTGGATGCCAAGAGTTTGCAGGATCGAGGCCAGTATTTATAACTCCAATCTACTGCATAGCTCTTTTTCAGTTCTTGATTCTTAACAGGTGCTCTCCCCCTGCCCAGTCTCTGCTGACTGTGAAAGCAATTGAAGGTATTATGGTTAGACACTAAATATATCACAAAGATTAACTTGATAAATGATCAATTCTGGCCTCATGCTTGAAATTTAAGTCAATTGTCTGGATGAAATGTGTAAATCCCTGTATAACAGACATTTATCTCTCTCCAGACTTTTCAATGCTTTGCACAAGATGAAAGCCAGTGAGTGGATAATTTTTTCTGGAGGTGATGCTGTATTTTTTTCTTCCACTAGGAATAATTTCCTGGGATGTGGTGTCCAGCTGTGTGTATGCATGATATACTGAAAATAAGGGACACAGCTACTTTGGAGAGAGTTTCCAGTGGTGAAGCTCTGTATGGCCTGAGACCTGTTAGAAATCCCAAATGAAATACAAAATGGGATCTTGCCTTCCAGGCATTGTCCCCAGTGTCCTTCTGGTCACACCCCTGTTCTTAGGGCTTGCCCCTAACAAGAGAAATGGGAGTATTTATTCTCCATAATAGCCTGCAGGCATTGTGCTGCAGTTGCTTTAGTGGGAATATTTTCTTTTACCTCTTTCCCTTCCTTTCTCTCTTGATCCTGGCTTCTCCCCTTCTTTCACCTTTTCTGGATGGGCTGTACATTTTCAAAGTTTAACACTTTATTTTTTTCCTGTTAGTCCCTAAGTGGCATGGCTGAAGTGTTACAGGCCAGTCATCAAAGTGCCTTTAAAAAGGGAATTGTCAGGGACTCACATATGTTTGAACTATATGTGTTTGCATAGTGATTTTCAGGGGTTATCAGAGGAAAATATGAGTTGCTTTGACAGTGGTCCCATCACAAGCTCTTATCTTCAGGAATTCAGCCTCCTACTTTTACAGCCCATTCATAGTCCCTTTGGAAGTTTTAAACGCAGCATGTTAGGATGTTGGTTAACAGCAAATAAACCTGTGTGCTGACCTACCCATGTGCTAATAATAAGTCATGAGTCTGTTTTTTAAGAAACTGTGTCACAAATGGTGGTTGAAAAAATAAATGAAAGGCCAGATTCCTACAGATAAGACCATCCAGATGGAACTGCTGGGGGATAGGTTAATGAGTTGGCTCTGTAGCCTTGACAGTCTTCTTTCAAAAAAAAGAGGGCACGTGTTGTTCAGACAAGCCCATGCCTCTGTTTTCCAAAAGTGAAATTTACCATGGAGTGAAGGGCCAGCTAAAGGTCTCTGCCTTGCACTCACATGGGATTGGAAGAACAGATAAGGTTTGTGCTGGTGAACCTCAATTCTAGGGAGAAAACTGGCTCTTTTGGGGAGTTCCTGAAGAATAATTGAGCCTAGGCATGAACATTTTGCGCAGGCTTTTGATACACTCCTGGTCCTTCAGGATTTACAGACAGACCTGCATTTATGGGTTAGGAAGATGCGTGGTTATCTTGCTCGTACCTTTAACTGAGTTCCACACAGCCTGCATATGTGGGAAATATGCCATTATTTTTTGCAAGAATTGAATGGTTTTAATTTTTAACTTCATCTTTTCTTTTTGTTATATCACTAGAATAATTAGTTCCACTTTTCCATAATACTAATCAGTTCAGCATTTTCTGAAAGGACTTTTTGTATTGCAGAAATTACTTCCATTTGCATAGAATGTTGGATTTGCCTAAAGTAAGAAATTAGGGTTTTTGCCAATAGACATCCCAGACATTTGGTACATTTTTTGGGGTGTTGGGAGGTGGCTAGAGGATAACACTAAAAAACCCAATTATATGCAGCTATTATATCTTTTGCAAAAACATTTCAGTATATGGTATGTGGTGGCTGTTGCTTTATTTTTGGACAAAACCAGCATGGATAGCAACAGCTACACTACTTGATCTTGGGAGTTGCTTCCTCTTTTGGCTGATGGATAATTTGCAGAGCTAGTTCCACGATTTCTAGTGTCTCAAGAGTGCTTTAGAGTTTCACAGCAGGAGATTTGTAAAAGGGAAAGGAATGGTGTACAGGGAATTAAAAGGTCTGTAAAACTAGAGGCTCACTCTCCTGCGAGGAGTGATCTTGTCTAAATCAATAAACGTCCATGGTCTGTGTTTTTCAGCTCTGATTGTTAGGATTGTGTGTTCAGTCAGTGCATGCAGAACAGAGCCAATATTGACTTAATCACACCAAAAAATGTATTTACAGCTATTTGTCCAAATTCTGAATAACTGTTCCTTTTGTTCTCTGTCCTTTGCTATTCCCAAACCATAATGCAAACAGATTTTGGCTCTGAGTCCAGTGAAGTATTTCTAAGCAGGCTTAACTCCAGGCACATGACTACTCCAGCAAATATTTGGAAGACTTTCTGCAGGCTTAAAGGTAAGCACACAAAGAGTTTGCTAACTGCAAGTTTTGTTTTTCCCAAGTATTTAGGAGAACAATATTTTTAGTGACTAAATGCACAATAAAAGAAGCTCCTGAATAAAGATCAGTATTACCTGTCATTCATTTTCCATTATTCTATAGTCAGCATTATCTGTGTTTCTGCTGAATTGTTTATCTGGAATCAAATATTGCAGTAAAGGGGCATCTGTGAAGAATTGCACTCTGATACACGAGTGGTCAGAAACAATGGCTGAGCAAAAAATCGTAGGCATCCAGGATTTCTTTTGCAGAAATGCTATGTAAATACATGGGGAAAAGAAAGAAGGAAATATTGCTAATGAATAAGAAAGGAGGTATGAAGTGGCTCTGTGTAGATTTTTACTGGTAAAGGGTATCTTTTTACTGCAGCTGAACTGGTGCCTGCTAAGTCTTACCCTGCAGACAGCCCATGGTGGCTGAGCAGGCTGAACTCTCTCACACACAGCCCTGGCTGCCGTTGCCCACTCTGATCTCCTAGAAAAACTGCAGTTCTGCTAAGGGGGATAGCTAACATTTAATACTACAAAGTTATGCAACTACCATAGTAGCATTGTCAGTGAATGAAAAAAACCTATTTGCCTTTATAATGATTATGGTTCTAATTCCAGGGTAGCAGTTAGGGAAATGGAATTTAGAGGAATTAGACAAAGATGCAGTCCCAGCTGAATTTTTAATTTTTAAAAGTTAGAACATGAAACTGAAAACCAACTGTCTGGTTATGAGGAGGACATGTTCTTTATGAGCTGTTCGCTTACATTTTCTGATGATTCATCTCCTGTGGAAATCCTTTGCCATGCCTTATAGACTAAAATATCATTCTGAAGATAGAGGCAGGATTCAAGCAGTACCATTCTCCCCAGATATCTTCTGATGAGGTGTCAGCTTCCTTTTGGCAGAGTCTGCAGGATAGATAAGGGACTGTGGCTGCAGGCACAAAGGGCTTTTATGACAGGGTGAGAAAGAGAAAGTTTCAGATTAGCAGGAATTTGTATCTTTATTGTGCTTTTAACTTCAGTTTCAAATCTTAAAACAGATTTTTGCTGGTACATGAACTCAGTGAACTGATGTCCTATTGCATTTTAATTTCATCACTCTGAGTCTCTGACTTCAAAGCCTGCTCCAAGTCTAGAGAAAAGTTTGCAATCTGCTTGATTTGGCCATAGAAATGTGGATTTCTTGTATGTGGTTACAAAACAGGGGGAGCTCTTGAAATTCACGAGCCATGACTAAAAAAATTCTACTGTGTGTTTGGGAAGATCCATTGTATTTGCACCTGGATGAAGAATAATCTTACACAGCTCTTTACTGTCAAAGTGAGGATTACTAATTTTTAAGGAAACAAATAGAAGAAGCCTCAGAGATAGATTAATTGAAAATTAAGTGAAGTATAACAGTAAAACAAATATAAAGGATGTATTTCTTTCTTCTCCTTGCTTTTCTCTCATATTTTGTCTTATTCTGTGGTTTTATTCATACAAAAACTTTTTTGATTTGCAAATCTCACCCACATATTCATGTTTTGCAGCTTTAAAATTATGACCTGTCAGAGTTCACTCTAAGCCTGAGGGACAGATCACATTCCATAAAATTGTTAAGACTGTCCATCAGATCAGATGGAAATCTAATATCTCACCACTTAGGAGTCACACTCAGCATTTTGTGTGGCCATCCTTTGAGATAAAAGTCAGTGGTGTGTGAATTCAATTATTTCACATACATAAAACTTTCCAAATCTCTCCTGAGTTCACATGTTTTAGATATACCCATATCTGTTATGTTACTTTAGGCAGTGTCAAGTGTACTTTGACTTTGTGGGAAATTAGATCAAAAAGAAATAATATTTGGTTCATTGGAAAAGGACAGTTAGAGGGAGTAGCTGGTGAAAATTAAGGAGGGTGGGTTTTAATTCTCTAGGCTGTTGAAATAATCCACATAGACCAAGAAAATGGTGTTATTTCTAGCATTGCACTAGAAACTGCAGAGCAGAAATCGGCAAAGGATATTAAGACCTCAGGTTTTGGCCTGAACATTTCCCATAGGTGATAAGAAACGCTGGTCACATTCATCTTCATGAAAAACTGGATGTGTCCAAATGTAGCTCCTGATGTGTTAGATGTAGCACTTGATTCAGGTAATAAGCCTGGTGCAATTATTGTTCTTGTGGTGGCCCATCAGATCTATCAGTCCATTCTCATTTCCAGGGGTACTCTGGCTAGTAACCATAATTTGACCTCTGGTGCTTTGGGAGAACTTTCTCAACAGGGCAGGGAGTGGCCAATACTGAACATTCCTGAACTCTGGTTCTGGATATGCATATCAGACCGCAGACCCATCTCCATCAGAATCCACAAAGGTACATCAGTGATGTAGTGCTGTAAGTTGCCACTTCCCTTTGTGTTCCAGGAGGACTGCTGGGTACTCAAATGTTTTTGAAAGGAAGACATTTAAAAACATAAAAATAGATGCGGTACCTAACTTTAGGAGCTTATCTCAAAAGTCCTGGTGGTCCATATTTGGGCAAAGCAAGTATCAAGGTCTTTGCAGTTTTGGTGATGTGAAGGCTGCTGGATAGGCATGTGGCTCCTTTTCCCTTACTCAACAGCAATTTGTTTATGTCTGCTCTATCTCACTACAGTCATTCAATGGCAGGTGAGTATATAAACAATCCTGGGTTGGTCTAAACCAACAACATCTATCAAGAGTCTGGCCCTGTCTGCTCACTGGCACTCTGAATTTCTCTAACTTTTCCTTTTCTGTGTACTACATGAAGTCTCTTCTCATATCTGTGGAAGCAGATTTATTTGGCAGTAAAAATGTCCATTTAAATTGAAAGTGCAGTTATTTACTTTCCAGAAGTGAATAGTCTTCAATAAATCAGTCTTTCTTTCTCTTTCCTATAATTATTTATTGTTTACATCCCCGTAACAGACATATCTCCTGTAAAGCTTTTCAGCTTTAATCCACCAAAGCAGGGAAAATGTGATGTTGAAGTCCAACTGAGGCAAAGGAGCAGCCAGACCTCTGAATTTTATTTCCTACTGTTGGGTAAGGGGCTGCCCTATATGATGTCATCTATCAGAAAAAGCAGTTTTCACTTGCTTTTTTGAGGCAAGAATTATTGTCTGTTTTTCAAGGGGTTCTGAGGGCCTAGGAGAGAAGGACACGGGTCCCTGAGAGGGATGCGTGGCTGCTGCCACTGAGACAGTGGCACATAGTAGGCAGTGTGCTGCAGTAAAAATGCTCTATAAACCTCCTAGATGGTAAGGAATATCTTGTGTAAAAACCCAAACACCCAACTGTAACCCAGGTACCTTTGTGTTTTTAAAACATGAAGTGTTTAAATCTTCTGGGAGGAAGATTTAGGTCCTTGGCCACAGCTGAATACCCTGTCCCTTGGAGTGCATCTGTGAGGATGATGAATCCCATGAACTCAGGGAGGGTTTGTGGCCCTCAGGTAGAATGTGGATTACATTTATCTTGTGTGATTTCTTATTTGTACATTGGAGGTGGTAACTCTGTGTCAATATAGGCATTTATGATGTGATTAAGGTGCCTTCTCATTTAACCCTATTGGGTGACTTTATCCCTTCTGTAGATGTTTCACCTCTTTGTCTACACTTATTTACTGCTTCCTCTGCTGAAAGCACCACTGACTGAAAGCGCCTGACTAAACATTTTCTAAAGAAAAGCAGGATAAATCTGTAACACTGGCTCGAAATGTACTGATCAGCGTGTGCTGTGGTATGGTAGGTACTCTGTGTCACATGTGGCAAGAATCCCTGCTCTGTCCCCGCAGCTCTTCCTTATGTTGAAATTGCTTTCAAATCCAATGCTATTTCTGTCTTTGCTTTTGGCAGCAGGGTTGGCAAGTTTAAATTTTGAGAGCTGGGGAATGAGAGAGTCATGGAACTGATTCGGGAAGGGGTCGGAAGGGACAGGCTGGCTGGAATCAGTCAGGACTGCTGGTGGGGCAGAGGAAGGTGAAATCCTACATGGAGCCCAGATGTCCCTGCCCACACTTTCATCTCCCCCACCCTATAAGCTTCGTGTCAAAGCCGACCTCTTCCTGCTGGAGGACGGCTGAGGCGATTCCTTTCAGGGGCTGTCAGCGCTCCTCCCGTGACTGCCCTGTGGAGATGCTGTTGAGTGACACGAAACACTTTTTCTCCTGACAGGATTAGCGAGCCATCTCTCCACACTGCCCAGCTCCCCCTCCGCCTCCACCAGCTCTCTCCATGTGGCCAAAGAGGTATGCTTGTGTCTTGGATAACCAAATAGCATTGGGTCACTTCTCCCACATATGCTCCTGACAGAGGAACTTAGAGAAAACTTTCACTCTTCACACACAGCTCCATTTTTGGAACAAGAACAGGAACTGTTAGTCTATCTGTTTCTTTTATGCCTCTCCATTTCTATCTCGTGGAAGCATAGGGATTGTCCAATGTTATGGCCCTTCCAGATGCACTCCTGCTCTGTCCAGTCGTCTCCTCAGGTGTTCTGTAGGAGTGAAAAGATGATCACGGTGGTTAGCCCATCCCAGCGGAAATACCATGACTAATCTCTGCTAATTGAAAACTTTCCTCTTTCTGGGAAGATGTATGATGAAACTTTCCCAATGGAATTTGCAGAATGAGGACTTTTATTCTGGATGTTCATTTTGACACCCCAGGTAACAGTGCAAGACAGCCAGGGAGCTGTTTTTCAGGCACTCCAGTGCATGATCAGTCTCACCATTTGCTGGGGGGCAGGGGGAATCAAGACACCAGTAGTAACTTGCCTCTCCCAAGCTGATGTTTGGTGGTTATCCCATCCTTTTCTTCATTGTCCCATGACTGGTTTGTCTTTGTTGGGTGACTCAAGCAGATCTTTTTGATTCACTGCTTTCCCCTCATCAAAAAGCTCGCTGTAGCTCTTTTGGAATGGCTGTGCTTTTGTTAACCCACATTAACTAAAGCATGCCAGCCAGGTCTTAATCTTGCCCTGAATTTAAAAGTATCTTTTTCTTATTGCAAAAATATTGATACAAATAAGTATGAAAAAATACATTTTTCCTCCAATTGCATAAATTAAAGAAAAAAAAGGAACACAATTTTTCTTCATTCCATATGTAGTGTCGTTAGTATATATTCAAACAATTCATTCAGATTGCAGTAAACATGTGTATTGAAATCGGTGTTGGGTCTCTTTATGGGTTGAATCGGGTTCTGCACATTTACTGTATTATATTACTACATTACAATATGCTGTCATGTTCAAATCTCTGAATTTATTAAGCAGAATGTAATGTGCCAGATCTTTACAAATTTCTCAGTGTTTTGATACTTGTTGTTGGCAGTATTATCATTAACATAGCAAGCCAAATGACCCTTGCACTAGATTTTCCAAGCAGATGTCGATGCAGGGAACTAATTTCAGTTTATCTCAAATTATTCTCCTTTCAGATGGTTATTCAACCCTTGAAGTATGGGATGATCCATATTTACATTATCCCAAGGGAAGCTCTTTGAAAGAACTGTGACCTCTTTGCACTTGAAGGTTAGAGGAAAGCATTTTCTTCCACCTCTTTATAACTCTGCTTCTATATGTTGCCAACTCTACTAATCTTTTTGCCAAGGAAATCTTTTTGCCCTGTTGCTTTCTGTCCTATTCTACCCCTATTTTGTCTTGTTTAGGGTTATTTCTGGGGAAGAGGACTTGTTTCTTCTCTAAAGGAACCTTTCCTTGCAGCAGCCACTCAAGTATTATGGTCTTACCATGACTTGATCCTTTTGGAAACACTGAAATGTGAAAAGGGGCACTTGGATCCCATGGTGATGAGCAGGCATAAAAACACTTAGGTAGATCAGAAAGACTGAGTTGCTGAGTTTTGTGGCTTCTATTTGGATTTTTTATTTCGTTTAACCTGCAGTGTCAACAGAGCCAAAACTCTGAAAGGCATTCCAGACTGGAAACGCCAGCAGGGAAATGATGTGAATCTGTTTTTGCACCATTCTTTAAAAGTGAGTCTTTTTATTGTCTCCAAGGCACTGGCTACAGGCAAATATAGCTGTGCTGTTGTTAGCTGGTGCCATGCTGAGGATTCCTACTGAATAGTGTCATTTCATGTAAAACTAGGAAATCCCAGAAAACTCATTTCAGACTTGAAGTTTTGGTTTTCCTATGGCAGGAATTTGTGTCACAGGGACTTTTCATCAGACACTTGAAATCAATTTTGAAACACGCTGAAAGGCCTTTGTGTTCTTCAGAGAATCGATTATTTTCCTGACACAAGCTTCCTATACTGTCTAACCAGCATCACTAAGAAAGATGGAATGAATGTCTGCTATGCAACAATAATGCCATAAAAAGGAATGAGAAAGGCAAAAGCATTATAAGCCTACAAAGAAAACCACATGTAGAATGACCTCTCTTGATCTTTTCTATCAAGGCACCAAGTATGTGTCTTAATGTCCAAATCTAGCTAAATTTAATCTATATGCTGTCTACAATAATCCCTCTAGGGAATGCAATGCCAAGTGAGCATACAGCGTTCTCACACTAAAATCTTCCATCGGCATTACTGTGGGTTGTCAGGCAGTCTCTTTGCTGCTCTACCCTGAAAAAGTTCAAGAGTTTTGTTAATTCCTTCAGGAAGAGAGGAAAGAAAAAACATGTATTTTCATTGATTGTCCATGTTTCATAGTTTGTCCGGACATCCAGCTCACTTGGTTGTCTCTTCCTTTTGCTCCTTCCCCCCTTTTCCCCTTCTAGAAATAAGGGGTTATAGAATTTTAATATCAGAAATGAAGATACTTAAATCATTTCATACTCAAGATTTTGCTTTAAACTTCTTGTCCTTCATTCATTTATCTGATAATAACTTATAGGCATAAGCCCTTTATTTGATTGTTGTTCTTTATCCACTGAAATTTTACTAATTTTCTTTTCCTAGTAGTCACTGAACAATGACTGTTTCAGGAACACTGACTGCTTTGCAGAGCCCTAGCTGTATGAGATAGCTCCTTCCCTCTCAGAAAATGCAACCTTACATAGCATGGAGCAATTAAACTGTTGGGAAATGTGAGAAATCCTGTGGTCACAGGAGAAGCAATCCTACATTGACTGCAAAACTCCCTGCCAGATGAAATAAAAACAGCTATTAATTTCACTGTGTTATGAGCTAGGAGCGCATACAGGAGCCAAGCTCCAAAGCCATCCCTTTGTATGGGCTTTCTCTGAAATGTAAATGCAGTCATGCTGTCAAATAAAAACAGAGGCAATGATATTAATACTAGACACTGCTGTCACACTTGCAAAATCTGGAAAAAATGCTTTGTCTGAGGCTGATGTGTACCAGTTTGAGAACCCCACTGGAAACTCAGAGATCACATTCCCTGTGCTAATTCATAGCTCACCCTTACAAATGCACACAAGTTATGGCATCGAGGCCAAAGAGATGAAAGAAAGGCTGGACTGGAATATGGAGGAGAGCAATAGATTACCTTGGTTAACTTGGTAGTTCAGGAGTTCATGAGAAGTTTGTGACTGCTGTTCTTTGTTTTTCTTCTGCAGAGCAATTTCCCCTGTCCTCTTCCGCCTCTTTCATGTTATTTATTTTCTAGTAACACCGACCTTCTGCACTGAAGGACTCTCCTACATGAAAGGATTTTTCTTCAGCTCACATTTTGCAAATATATTTTCTCATCATTTTTTATGGCTTGTGCATGAAAGTGTATTTTATATTTTAAGTAAATTCTTTAAAAGTGCATTACTTGAAAATGTACATTCCCTCATTTTCATTAAGATCTGAATTAGTCTCTTAAGTCAGATTCAAAAATAAAGCTGAGCCTTATAAGTCACTTAGGTGCTCTTCAGACTTACTTTTAGGGTAAATCTTGCTAGTATTTTTTTCCCTGTGTATTGTTTACAATGATAATCTAATGTTTACCCAATGCTTGGCTGTAGAACAACAGAGAGTTGTGAGATGACCAAGCTCATTTCCTGAGCTGCATCTTTTTGTTTTCATAAGAGCTCTTGATTTAACATTTCATTTAAGAAGCCTTGTGAACTATCTCTTGATTAGATTCTGTGTATTTCCTGCCACTTGCATGAACTGAGAAATGTAGCCTTAAAGCCAGAGCCAAAATAAATATTTTTTCATAGAGTGATGTAACAACCAGCTTTCTGTTTCATGAAATTCAGATTTTCCTCCATTTTTGGGAGGGAAGTTCTGAAAAATCATTTCAGTAGGTTGCTTATTTAAGTGAAGAAGCCAGGGGTTTAGCATTGTAGAAAAATACTGCAGAGACACTATCAGAAAATAAGTGGTTAACTTTTCTGGAGGAAGACTGGGATATCAATGTTCTTAGCAATATGTTAAAAAATGGCCTAGGAAAACCTGTGTACACTTCACTGAACTGTCTGTAGAGTGAGAGTCCCCTTTCTTCATTCTTACATATTCACTGGTAGGCAAACAAGTGATAAAAACCTTCATCTAATCTGCATAAAATTTTCCCTCCCAGAAAAATTTTTGGACTTAATTGCTGATTTGTGTGGCTCAGTTTGTAGGCCCATAAACTGCTCTTAGGATTCATAGTGGAAATCTGGATAGACTTCAAATGAGTGAGGTTATTCTGCAAATGTCCGTGTATGAGACCAGCAGCTAGTCCAGAGGAAGAGTGTCATGGTAGGCATTTCGAGAGAAGATGAAAAAGAAATTGTGCATCATGGTAACATCTAGACCAAGAGAAGAAAATGGAAATTTGCCAGCTTGAGTCTGGGAGGCATCCTGTGCTGTGCGGAATTTCAGGAGCCAGCCTACTGCTCTGGGCCACAGGCCCCTGAACACCAACGCCGTCCCTTTTCCTTGGGAAACAAAACTCACCAGCCCAGGTTCCTGAGGGCAGATTGCAGAAGCCACTTGGAATTGCCAAATCAGCTCGAGTTTCAAAGTGTCCCAGCTTGGGTCTGGAAGGCATCCTGCGCAATGAGCAATTTCAGGAGCCAGCCAGCCACTCCGGGCCACAGGCTCCCATACACAAATGTAGGCAATTTTCCCTGGCAAACAAAACTCACTAGCCAGGTTCCTGATGGCAGTTTGCAGGAGCCACTTGGCACTATCATTTCAGCCCAAGTTGACCTCCTCAGCTTCGGTCTCGGAGGCATCCTGCACAATGTGGAATCCTGCACAATCAGGAGCCAGCCAGCCACTCCGGGCCACAGGCCCCTGAACACCATCGCTGGCCCTTTTCCCGGGCAAATAAAACTCACTAGCCAGGTTCCTGATGGCAGATTGCAGGAGCCACTTGGCACTGTCAAAACAGCCCAAGTTGGCACTGGTGCCAACTAGGTCTGGGAGGCATCCTGCACAATGAGGAATTTCACCAGCCAGCCTACCACTCCAGGCCACAGGCCCCCAAACACAAACACAGGCAATTTTCCCTGGCAATCAAAACTCACCAGCCCAGATTCCTGATGGCAGATTGCAGGAGCCACTGGGAACTGCCAAGCCAGCTCGAGTTTCAAGGTGTCCCAGCTTGGGTCTGGAGGACATCCTGTGCAATGCGGAATTTCAGCAGCCAGCCAGCCACTCTGGGCCAAAGGCCCCTGAACACCAACACAGCCATTTTCCCTGGCAAACAAAACTCACCAGCCCAGGAGTGGGGAAGCTGAAGACCTTAAGCAATCACTCTACTTCTCATCTCTTAAGGCTACACACTGTAAAACAGAAGGAGATCCAAATTATCTAGACAGAGCTTTCAAATCCACTTTCAAAACTCACTGGTTCTGTTCCCTCCACCCCCTTTGAAGTCAAAATTGGCTTCCAGTTGTGCAAGGACAATCGGGCTGTTTGTCCCTCTTTACAAGGAGAGGATCAGCCCTAAATATGAGTAGTGTCCCCCCGCTGCCACAACTCACCAGCAAGTGATCATTTCTTACAGGTTGTGAATCTGAAGAGAGCTCTACTCACTCCCTGGGATATTCAGTGTTAATGGAAGGAAGGAGAAGGAAATTGGAATCTTGCCTCTGCAAATCCCACAATGGTAGGGAAAATTTCAGAAATGGTAGAAAAGGTCACTCACAAACCTCATCAACTGTTAAAGAATCACAACACAAAAACAATAAACTCTTCAGAGTTCTTTGTGGAACATGGATGAGAAGAGTCTTTTGAACAAAAGCATAATAATTTGGCCTCTGAACATGGGAGGTTGGCTGACTTCAGAGAAAAACCAGGCAGCTTAAAGAGGCTGCTAAACTTCTTCTCCTCTGTCCAGCCAAGACTATCCTGCAAAAAACCAATCCTGCAATAACAACAAGCAACTTGACTTCATTGGATGATGAGCACTGTAAGGAGATGCAGAACAGAGGAAAAATAAGCAGAAAGAAACCAAAATGTATGTGAGTTCTATTCACAAACCCACCAATCCTTAGAAAAACAATAGTGTAGAATATGCACTGACCTTTAAGAATGAAAACTATGCTGAAAGGACTAAATATCACTGTAGAGTTAAAAGATAAACAGAATCCTTCCCTTCAACAGTACCAGTACTATGTGACTTTTAATAAATTATGTGAAAACAGATTTACAGGCTCATGCCCTAAGCTTATGCCTCCTTTGATTAGAAAACATGCAAACATAATGATCTAGAGAAGCAAATTAAATTCCCAGGACTGGATCATATTCAGAATAAAAACAAAGAGGTTCTTCAAAAGCTAATCTCTCAGAAGTCTCAGTACAACATGATACTCTCTCAAGGTGCAGATTTCTCTACCTTGCTGCTTAAGTATGCTTTACTATGCAGAGCACAACAATAAAGAGCTTTTTTTAAATTCATTTAAAAGGTAACAAATTATCTTAAATGACAAAAGAAGAGAAACAAGACCCTCAAGCTGAAATAAGAAGCTGAAGGATCAGATTCTCACACAGAGATGTCACTTTGCTTATTGGCTATTAGACTCATTTATTTTACTAAAATCTATCATAGTGTTTTCTTTATCAGCTATGTCAGGCATTTCTGAACAAACATATTCAGATATCCAAAGCAACACCTGCAATGAAAGGAAGTGAACTTTCTCATTACACTGACCTGTAAACAAAGCCAAATGCCAAGGGTGTTCACCCTAGTGAAACTGGAGCTGGCAGTTGCCCTTCCTACTAATTTCTCAAAATCCAAAATATGAACCTACAGGACGTATAGACCTCTCCCTCTCCCACTCACACTCTTTCCCAAAGACTTTGCCTGTAGAAAGGACCAGCACCACAAAACAGGAAGCACACCCCATTGCAAGAGGGCGCCTGTGAAGTCTGAGGTCTGGTCCAGTTAAAGTTGCCATCATGGAAACGCTGAACAGCAGCCCCACTGGCAACAAATTTGCTGACTGATGTTCATTCAGGTTGGGACTTTAGGGCTGGTGGTGAAGACAGAGCTGTGGATGTCTTAGGTTCAAATAAACCAAAGGAGCTCCAATTTCATATCCCTCTGTGGGATAATTTGCGTGGCACAACGAGTGAGTGTGAGAGCTGCTATGGAGCAGAGGAGATCTCTAGGATTACATGGTGCTGAGCTCCCCTCCTGAGTGTTGCCAGAAATCCAGACCCAACGCCTCAGGGCAGCAAGGAGACCTCATTTTCCCTATAACTTTGGTTTATAATTTGTACTTCTGTATTGGCAGGATCAAGGACAGAGCCAAAAGCCCTGACTCAAAATCTTCAGCTTCACAATGATGCCTTTTCTTTCTACATTTGTCTTCCTGATCATCAATCTGACAATGCAACACCACCCCAACCACTGTTCCCTAAGCCCAGCTGGGGAAAAGATGGAGCACAGCATCCTTCAAACCTCTTCCATGGGGTCTAGCTTGACAAATGATGAGGACACAGACAGAGCACTGCCTGTGCATGGAGCAGTGCTGCCCTGCTGGCCCCTGCTGATGGGATATCCTGCACAGAGCTGATGTCAGAGCAGGCAGGCAGCTCCCTCAGCCAGAGCCTGCACACACAAGGCAGATACAGCAGTGAGGTACAGACTTCAATTGATAGCTCCTTCCCTCCTGCAGCAACCACCCCTTCAAAATCCCTGCAGAACTACAACTCCAGACAACTCTTCAAAGAGGGATGGGAGGAGTAACATATTGCATATTTACTGTACCACTTCTGTGATCTTTGGTGCAAATTTTGCCCACCTTTTGCCTCTCAGTTACCACCTGTCACAGTTAAGGACCAGCACTATGAAGTGCTGAGATTATTAAATGGCTTTCAGCTGGGTTTATCAAGCATTCATTGAGAAGAGGGGCTGTCCTGGAAGCCTCTTGACTCATGATCTAAACACACCGTTTATTGCCTTTCCCACAGTGTTTATTTGAATCATCTAATATTGTCTCCAAAAGGCCATAACAGAAGATTTATAAAAGAAAATACTAAATACCTGGTTCCCAGACTAGCTTCTTCCTACAAGCTTTTCTGCAGAGCAAACCCAATTTTTGAATCAGCAAGGAAGATTTATACAGGCATATCTTGCCTTCTAGAGGCATCAGGTCAAGCACATGACTGATTTTACTCCAGCTGGTCGCTTCAGACCAGTTACAAAAGCACCGACAAAGTTTACTTTAACAAGTAAGGACTTCTACAGATTAGAAGCACACATCTTTAACACAATCACATTCTCTTCTGTTGAACCTGAGGAAAACTTA